TGGAACTTGCTGTGTAGACCAGGATGTCTGGGACTCACTGTGTAGACCAGGATGTCTAGAACTCGCTGTGTCTACCAGACTGCATGGAACTCACTATGTAGACCAGGATGTCTGGAACTCGCTGTATAGACTGGAATGTCTGGAACTCACTGTGTAGACCAGAATGCATGGAACTCACTGTGTAGACCAGGATGTCTGGAACTCGCTATATAGACTGGAATGTCTGGAACTCACTGTGTAGACCAGAATGTCTGGAACTTGCTGTGTAGACCAGAATGTCTGGGACTCTCTGTGTAGACCAGACTGCCTGGAACTCACTGTGTAGACCAGGATGTCTGGAACTCACTGTGTAGACTGGGATGTCTGGAACTCGCTGTATAGACTGGAATGTCTGGAACTCACTGTGTAACCTCGAATATCAGGACCTCAGGAGTAACTCTCCATCTCTAGCCATTCAAAAGTGCTGATGTTACAAGGGTGAGCACCACACCCAGCTTCCTGATGGGCCTTGAGAGGTGATTTTGTATAGAAGCTGGGGATTCAGTATCGCTGTGGAGCGTATGTCCACTATCAGAGGAAACACAGACCTGAGTCTGTGAGAGTCACATTTCCCTTGTCATTCTCCAGCCCCATCGGTGGCCTCTGCACCGTGGAGCTCTGTGTTGCATTAAGACTGCTAACAAGTTAAAAAGACTCAGGATTGCTGGAGCACACATCGTGTTCTGTCTGTTTGCCAAGAGACCTGACATTTCAACCTCTGAAGGTTGCTGCAGCTCCACAGAGGAGCTAGAGGTCACAGAAGGTCCCCCAGTCCCAGTGACTATTCCCATTTGAAGATGGGGTTGCTTCCAAGTAAGGCTGAGCTTTCGGGTCTGAACACTGACTGATGTAATTTGAAATAAGCAACTTGATTATGTTTGATAATACTCACTTTCCTCTTCTCTTGCCTGTTGTTTGTGCTTGGACGGTTGTAAGCACGTGTTGTCACTGCGTGAGGTGTCTATTTCTATGACAGGTCATGTGACATGGACCTTTAGTTGTTACTTAGATCGGGGCTTCTTAAGCTTCTTCCTAATTACAATCTGTTTTCATCAAAGGAATTTTCACACAAATCTATGAATACAGGTTCATAAAATAGGTACACAAAGCAAGCATTTATGGACACTGAATCATAAATTTATTTCAAAACAATTCTTTTGCATAATATAATTTTAAAGACGTTAGAACATTTCTAGACTAACAAGATAGATATGCTTGCTTATTTTTACATGAAAATTAAATCTCGGATGACTATTTGAAGCCGCAGGATGGGGAGCATCCTCAATGCTTTTCAGAATCTGTCCGTGCTTTGATTTGATAATGGTCAATGTTGAGAATGACGTTTCACAGAAATAAATGCCATAAGATGGCAGAAGTAAATTTAGAGCCAGTTCAGGCATTGCTTGAAATTTTGTCCTAATATCAAGTCAAAACTTACTTCACTCTGAAAATGAACACTAGATCAGCAAGACAGACAGGTTTTAAAATCACACATTCTTGTACCATGAGCTACAGAGATTGTCTAAGCTGATTCTTACCTGCTAGGCGTGACAACAGGAAGATAAAGCCTTTGTATTCTGTAGTTAGGCCATTGTTTCTGTAATCGAGGGACTCATACATACTGTTAGAGCCCTGAAGTTCATAGCCTGTGGCAGTAGCAGGGCTCACTAGGATGTTTCAAGCAGGCATCATGGGATACTTTATACATCACTGATTAGCACTGACAGAAACACCTCACGTTCATTACTGAACGTGAATTTTTGTTGATTGTGTGTTCAGGGACCTTTTCCCGTTACCAACTGTCAGATTCTGTCACACAACTCCATGTGGGTTTGTGATTCATCGCTTAAGGAGCTGGGACCTGGATTACAGGCTGTGCAATTAAAGAATTTCCTTGCCAGCTTTGAAGTCTCTTCCGGTACAAGTCGGTAGAAAGGATTGCTCGTGCTAGGCTAGCAGAGACCCCATGATTAGCATTCTGTTCAAAACTGAGAAACATGCAGTTCCCAGAATGACTAAAAACAACCAAAACATTTTCCCCCTGTATTATCTTGCATCCTGTGAGCTTATGGAGAACACTGATGTTTCATTATTGGGTTTGAGGGTCATTTTGGGTTTCTGTACTCTATAACTCACACAGAAAACCACAGGTGGAAATTGTGGCTCACAAAAGCTGTCTCTAAAGTGGTTGGAAACTTCCAAGTTAAGAGCCCTGATGTGAAGACTCCACAAAATTACATAAAGTGTTTACATTCTTACCTTTTGTGAAGCTTCCTCTGACTTTTAATGTTAAGTGCATTCAGGAGCACTTTCGATCAAGTGGAACAATTCTGTGTAATGCCTTTTGAACACAAAATCAGAGCCGTCTGCATTCTCATACCCTCTGCTAAGAAATGGGAACAATTTAAATGCCCACGAGTTGATAAGTGGCAAAACCTGGGGAGCACAGACACAATAGAATACCATTCAGCCATAAAATGAATGAAATGCCGTCCTTTGCAACAACGTGGCTGGAACTGGAGATCATTGTGAAGGGGGAGAACTGAGACACAGAAAGAGGCTGGCTCTCCAGTAAGCTCCCTCATATGAGGAACATAAAAAGTTGGCATCACAGATATCCAGTCTTGTATACTTGGTGGTTACCAGAACTTGGGGAGAGAAAATAAGTGGGGAGATGGGGAAATGTTAATTGGAAAAGGTAGTTCTGGTGCATAGTACATAAGGTGATGGTAGGCCATGAAAACACACACATTGTATAGTGGACCATGAAGACACGCACAGGGTGATGGTGGACTGTGAAGACACGCACAGGGTGATGGAGGACTATGAAGACACGCACAGGGTGATGGAGGACTGTGAAGACATGCACAGGGTGATGGTGGACCGTGAAGACACGCATAAGGTGATGGAGGACTGTAAAGACACGCCACAGGGTGATGGAGGACTGTGAAGACACACACAGGGTGATGGAGGATCATGAAGACATGCACAGGGTAATGGAGGACTGTGAAGACACGCACAGGGTGATGGAGGATCATGAAGACATGCACAGGGTGATGGTGGACTGTGAAGACACACACAGGGTGATGGAGGACTATGAAGACATGCACAGGGTGATGGAGGATCATGAAGACATGCACAGGGTGATGGTGGACTGTGAAGACACACACAGGGTGATGGTGAACTGTGAAGACACGCACAGGGTGATGGTGGACCGTGAAGACACACACAGGGTGATGGTGGACTGTGAAGACACACACAGGGTGATGGAGGATCATGAAGACACGCACAGGGTGATGGAGGACTATGAAGACACACACAGGGTGATGGTGGACTGTGAAGACACACACAGGGTGATGGAGGATCATGAAGACACGCACAGGGTGATGGAGGACTGTGAAGACACACACAGGGTGATGGAGGACTGTGAAGATACACACAGGGTGATGGTGGACTATGAAGAAACGCACAGGGTGATGGAGGACTGTGAAGACACACACAGGGTGATGGTGAACTGTGAAGACACGCACAGGGTGATGGTGGACCGTGAAGACACACACAGGGTGATGGTGGACTGTGAAGACACACACAGGGTGATGGAGGATCATGAAGACACGCACAGGGTGATGGTGGACTGTGAAGACACACACAGGGTGATGGAGGATCATGAAGACACGCACAGGGTGATGGTGGGCCGTGAAGACATGCACAGGGTGATGGTGGACTGTGAAGACATGCACAGGGTGATGGTGGGCCATGCAAACATGCACATGGCGGACTGTGAAAACATTTCCAAGAGCAGAAGGAAGGATTTGGGGTACTTTCTTTCTCTTGCTTCTTCGAGACAGGGTCTTACTATGTAGTCATAGACATCCCCGGTGGCAGTGCACATGGGCTCAGATTTTCCAAAGTATTTGGCTAGAAATTTTACGTGCACTGGATTATAGAAAAGATCTTTCTGCCATTCGGTGATACGCTGGCATCTCAATTAGACCAGGCACTTGGCTGTGTGCTGACTTAGTAGTGGTCTTAGTAATTGAAAAAGGTTGACTTACATTCTTAAACTAAAGGTTCAGTTGTCTAAAGAGAACAAGGTAAAGAATTATTGCCGCTCCCCTGCAGACTTCTGAAGAAGGACACTAAAAAGAATTCCCACACTAGCTCAGAATGGAGTATAATAAAAGATTACTTATTTAGGCGTAGACTCACAGATCACAGTCCTCTGCTCAAATGCAGAACAACAACCAAATCTCACAGCGGGAAGAGAGAGAGAATGCGTGATTTACATTGGCATTTATAGTATAAGAGGCCACGCCCAAGTGGGCGGTAACTTGCCGGCCACTGGCGGTAGGAATTCCTACAGCAGACTTCCTTGAGCAGGCTTTCATGGTTGTTCTGGAAATAAAAGCTACTTTACTAGAATGTGGGCTGCTGGTGGCTGCTCTATGGGCTGCCAAGATCTCAAATCCCTTGAAATGTTCTTTTTTTTTTTATTTTTTTTATTCTGCCCTGTCATGGGCCCAAATAGCGTCTTTATTCATTAATGCTAATAAAAGATATTTACAGTATACAGAGGGGAATCCCACATCAAAGAAATGTTTGGAAAACATTGGTTGAATAGATTGTCTGTATTTCTGACCCACATGAGTTGCTTCGCTATGCTATTTGCAATTTTTGCCATAACTGTTGTAAATCTTTTTTTTTTTTTGAGAAAAGGAGAAAAAAAAAAACAAGTTTCCATCTCCTCCCAGCCTCCCATTTCCCTTCCCCTCCTCCCACCCTTCTCCTCCTCCTCCCACCCTTCTCCCTCTACCCCCACTCCTTTCCCCCTCCCTCTCCAGTCCAAAGAGCAGTCAGGGTTCCCTGCCCTGTGGTAAGTCCTAGGTTCTTATGCGTGATGTGGTATACATCGTCACATGGGACATGTGTCAACGCAGGCATTTTTGTGTGTTTCTTTCTAGATTGTTCACAGAACCCTGGCAGCCATGTTGGGAGCGCTTGCAGCGTTAGCAGCGTTGGCTGTGGTTGGAGACGTAAGTCGTTGTGTTTGATTTACTGGCTCACCACCACGATACAATGCCAGTCCCATGGAAACTCCAGGGCATATGAATTGTTTTAAATTCTTTTGTATGATGTTCCACATGTTTTTCCCATGATGCATAGAGGCATGAGCTGACACGCTTGGTTTAAGAGAGTTGTCACTGTGGATAAACACACACTCAGTGATGTCTGTCTCCACTTGGGCCTGAGAAAGGTCTTAGAAGTGGATCTAGGAGGCATGGAGGGAGACCTACAGGGCTGCGGTTCTGCCCTGCAGCCTTGCAGGCCCTGGAGATGCCCATATGTAAATAATGGTGTCCACTTGATAGGGCACAAGAAAGTACATGAAGGGCAATGAGGGAGCCTGAGTGTTCTTAGGAAACGGAGAAAGACTTGTTGGACGGTTGAAGCTGCCACTCTGCTCAGAGTTTGACCACACACAAACTGGATTTGAAAGTAGCTTTACAATCTGGTGGACTTTTTTTTTCCTTCCTAAAGACTATAGACAGGTCATTCTTCTCCCTCCCATACGAAATGTCTATGTAGGGAAGTGTATTGAGTTAGTTATTTAAGTTCTGTGTTCTTAACTTAAAATGTCTTTGTAGACTGGTCTGAATGTAGTTGTGAGAAAGTGAGTTTCCCCCCCCCCCCCCCCCCCCCTTGGCTGGGTTTGCCTTAAAGAGATGCTAAATTGAAAGGTAAAATATCCCCAAATTCTAAAACTTAGAGACAAGAAAATTTTGGCTTTCTCCTAGCACTTGGAATGGAACCCAGGGCGTCATGGACGTTAGGCAAATATTCCTGAGCTGTTGTCCCCCCAATGAGACAATTGTTGTCCCCAATGAAAGCCCAGTCATGTAACACGGCAGGGACAAGGTTGTCTTGGAATAAACCTGACCAGGGTTTTCGTCAGCAAGCAGTCTATATCACAGGCTTAGGGTCTTCTCCTGCTGAGGTTGGCTAAGATCCGGTTCTGCCAGGCAGTGCTGATGCTTAAACTAGGATGTGCACATCTGGTTGGCCATGTTGATTTCAGGGAACTAACTTGGGGAAACTGAAACTGCTAGCATGGGAAAGAGGAACCTATGCAAGCTGGATGCAGTCCGTGAGTTCGGGGTGCTGTCTGTGCTGGAGAGAGATTGTCTCCGAATCTCTGAGTCATGTGCCTGTTCTCATAAGTAGGGCTCAAATCATCTTTCATTTGGAAAATGGCACATATGGTACGTAGCAGGTACATGCATCAAGAAGCCTCTGGGTCACTCAATGAGTCGCCCTTTGCCAGCAGGCTAGGTGCTGGCTGTCCCTCACTTTGCACTTGATGCTAGTGGCCCTTGGAGAGTAGAACAGACAGCTGTCAATCATGCCACTCCACTGAGGGAAACATGTGCAGACCAAACCTGCAATTCAGGCAATAATTCAGGCAGTAATCTTCCTAGAGCTTCCAGAAGCAGGGTTACATTTTTTTTTCCCTTTTCCCCCACGAATACTTTTGATGCGACAGACACGTTGGGTCACGAGTGCTATTCAGCAATGATATAATCCAATTTCAAAGGGAAGAGGGTGGAGTGTTTCCAATTTTGGCCCGAAGCGTGGGCTCGCACTAAGGGCAGCCCCTTTTCTGAGCGTTCGTCAGCGGGTTGACGCACGGGATTAATTGGCAAATTTGTGCTTTGATTACAGAGACCCAGCCTGACCCACGTGGTGGAGTGGATTGATTTTGAGACTCTGGCGCTGCTGTTTGGCATGGTAATTGCAGTCCTCCCAGCAGGATATGGCTCCAAGTCTGGGTCCTTCACTCTTCCATGCTTGCTGATCCCTATCATTATAAGTCAAGATGGCGTACCTCTTGACAGGGCTTGATTGAGAAGTGTGAGCAGGTCTAGCTCATTTCTCCCAAGGAGGAGGAAATGACCAGTGCTCTGGCTCGTTAGGGCTTGGTGAACAATAACGTGGCGTCGGTATTTATGAAAATGAGCAATTTTTTGAGTTATTAACCTTAAAATAAAATAGTGGCATATGTCAAATAAATGAACCACGGGACAATTTCAGTAATTGGGAAAGTGATTTTAATAATATAAAGAAAAGTGTCCCTAAGTAGGAGTTCTAGGGCTTGTCAGTTTATCATACTGTTAAGCCATGAGGAACATGACCAAGTTGGCTTGTAGAGGATTAGCATAGAGCGTGTGTTGCAAGTCTAAGCTAGAACAAGTGAGACGTGGCAAGGCCCTGGACAACAGTGGAAAAGATCTTGTGTTCTGGGTTATTCTCTAGACAGGGTCTGTGGGGTTACATCTGTGCTACGCTACATCAGGAGGCTCGCTTTGCAGAAGCCACCAAACAGTCATCTGTTTGCTGGCACCTACTCTAGGCTTCAAAGGCACTCAGAGCTGCCATCTTCTCTGAAGGGGAAGACGGAGCAAGGCTCTGAACTCAGGTTTTAGTTGTGTGGGATGCTGCCGGGCAGGCCTCCTCCCCAGGGAAAGGTGAGTGCGCTATCCACCTGTTCCACAGCCCCACAAAGCAGGATAATACAGGATAGGGAGTCAAGTCAAAGCAGGAACTCAGTTTATCTCTGTGAGTGTTAAGTAGCATCATACTGGCTGATGTGATGGGGGGGGGGTTACCTCCAGCCAATGAGAGACAGCTAAGCCCTCCCTCTGGCTGGAGGGGTGTCTACCTAGATTTTGTTGTCTCATCCTCACTCGGTAGTTTTGAGGCTATCCTTCAAACTCGAGCCAGGCTTTTTTCTGTCTTACAGGCCTCCAGGTACAATCTTCGAGATAATTTTGTCCAACAGGATTGCTGAGAAACAAATCGGGCTTGGTCATCTGGATAGAAGAAGCGCGGTGCGGGGAGTGGGGGGGAGTGTCACACTAAGTGTCTATAATATACTGTTGGTTTTTTTTTTTCAGAAGTTAAACAAATGGTGTAGTGGTTTCCTAGGACGGCAATAACAAAGCATGGCATATGTGAGGGCCTGATGAATAAACATTCCTTTCTCACAGCTAAAGAGGCTGAAGTCTGAGATCAGTCTGTCAGCAGGTCTGGCCTCTATTGATGCTCCTCGCTGTCTGTCTCCTCCTCATGTGCCTGTGTCCTCATCACATCCTCTTAGAAAGCCAGCTGTCATATTCAGTTAGGGGCCACCCTAATGATCTTAGCATCACTCTTAAAAGCCCTGTCTCCAAGTATAGCCACATTTCGAGGTCCAGGGAGTTAGTAGTTCAACATACGAATTTTGAGCAGGAGAGACGGAATTCAGCCTATAAAAATGACCGGATATTTCTTTTGCTTAATTAAAATTGTTCCAGCGGACACTTAGATATTCTGTGCTTTTGTTACTATTGGGCCAGTGCACAAAGGGGGCCTGATTTTGCCTGGCTTACTTCCTGAGACTGCTCGCCCCGGTCTCTCTATCAGACCACAATGGAATGGCTCCCCATGAAAAGAGACTGCCACACAGGGTGCCACCCATAACTGTCCACTCATGTTCCCATGAAGTACTGCATGCCACGCACAGCCCCACAGGGGCCCGCTGAGTTAGGAAGCTGCTCTAGACAAGGGCAGGGCTGAGTCAGAACTGATTTGGATGCATTTTTGTTTCATACGGTTTATTTGAAAGGTATATCGGGTCCCTGGCCTTCCAAGTACTTCATATAATTTTATCAAGCTCTCACAGAAACCTCACAAGGGGGAGAACATCCAGAGGTGAAGTGAGACACTTGAGATGCAGAATGGTAAACCAAGCACACCTTACTGAGGGCTTGAACCTGCACTTTCTCATTCCAGAGTCAACACATAGTAAGGTGGAGGGTAGGAAGGCGGGGCTGTGCTCTGGTCTTGAACGTTGTGGAGAAACCAACCTCTGTGTTGGTTTGGGAAGAAGATAGGGTTAAACACCTGCATAAAAAAGGGAGTCATATCAGACAACTGGAAGAAGAAGAAGAAGAAGAAGAAGAAGAAGAAGAAGAAGAAGAAGAAGAAGAAGAAGAAGAAAATGGAGTGTTATTCCACTTCTTGTAAAAAGGGAAACCTTCTAGCAACTTCAGGCTTGCTGGAATTTCTGGTTGATTAAGCACAGCATAAAGGGGGTATTATTCCCGTTAGTCCATGTGGTGGCTGTTTTCATCTCTTGTTTTCATCAGTGGAAACACAGGTAAACATTCCGAGTGCACAGAGGCCTGGAGGCCACTCATTACCAGTGGTCCAGCTTGTCCATGTTCATCAGATCTGTAAGGAAAAAAAAATCAGTTTCATTATGCTAGAAACCAAAATTTGGCACAGTTTAAAGCTATTTATTTCAAGGCATTAAATTTCTGAGCGCTGTGTATGGGGAGAATTAGATACAAAGACCACCTGCTGACCTATGGCCTTCCCTGCTTCGAGCTTCAAGACTGATCAGATCATCTGTCTCTGGTCTATAAAACGAGGGAGGACAGCACTTGATGTTTGCTGTCAGGGTTAGATGGGTTGATAACCTGTCTTAAGGACAATACCTAGGTTTGGAATATACAAAACCATCTGTAAGAGCTTCTGCTCCAAGTGATCATGGTAGTCAATTGAAGTGATGGACATGTGGGTAACTTGCTTTGTGGAGACCAGGCTGAACTCACTGGGATCTGCCATCTCTACCTTTCAAGTGCGGGATGTGTGTACCACCACTGCCCAGCTATGAAAGTGACAGACATCCAACAAGGGCAAAGTTGCTCTTGATGACACAGATATCAGGAGCCAGAGTGCAAACTCGTGATGGGGTCATTATGATATTGTTCCAATGTGGTATTTTGCTAAGAAAAAATTTCGCTACCTACTTTTTGTCTTTCCCTTCTAGATGATCTTAGTAGCCATATTTTCAGAAACGGGATTTTTTGATTACTGCGCTGTAAAGGTAGGTGTGATGTTGTACTTGATGGTCATACACCAGATCAATAAATAATAGGCATAAAATACTTACGTATAATCAGAGCAATAGAAGCACAAGTATGTAATTGATAAATAATAACATTAACTAACTGAATGTTGCTATTTATTATTCTAATATCATACATTTAGTAAATTAAAATATTTAAAATTCCATCCTCCTTTCAAAGCGGCCTCTGGAAATCTGGGTGTAATTGCCATGCTAAGCATGACTCAGAGCAACACTTCCAACTTCTCCATAAGTAAATGAAGAGGGAGCTCAAGGCAGAGAGCTCTCTCCCTGAGCATTCGTGCAGCAGCATTGCAGTGGGCTGCTTCGGGCTACGCATCAGAACACGCTTTACATGCAAGAGTCTGGATATGTCAAGCCATCAGTTTTTGATCGTATTTGGGGACATAATTCCAATGCTTACTTTCTAGACATATACAGTCCGGGCTTTCAAATCTGGGAAAAGTACTTTTTGTTGTTTTAATCTTGTATAGGCTGTATTTATTAATTTCTGCTGGGGCCTGGGCAAAGGGCCTTGTATATGCTTGGCACAGATCCCATCACTGGGCTAAAATGCTAACTCCTTAAAGGTCATTTTTTTAAACTTATAATTACTATTATTTGATTGATAATTGATAATTGTATATGTTTTGGGGTATAATATGATGTTTCAGTGTATACGTACACAATGTGTCATGATTGAATCAAGCCAACTAGCATTATCCTTACATATCAGTTTTATGGGGACATATTTGAAATTTACTTGTTTTTGTTTTTGCTTTTGAGACACTGTCTCTCTACATAGCCCCGGTTGTCTTAGGACTCCCTATGTAGACCAGGTTGGCCTCAAATTACCCAGATCAGCCCGCCTCAACCTTCAATCCAAGTGCTGGGATTGAAGGTGTGAGCCACTACACCGTGTGGCTTGAAATTCACTTCTGAAGTTATATTGAAATATACACGACGTTGAATATAGTCACCCTGCCTGTGTAGTAGCTCTCCAGATCCAAACCTCCTCCCTGTACCGTGTACCCTGTGACCAGAATCTCTCTATTCTCTCCCTCCCCACATTGTAGCCTCTATCCTGGCTCACTGTTTCTATAGGATCAGTTCGCTTGGATCGCACACATTTTCCACAATGATTTTACATCAGTCTGGAAGGATCCCTTTCCTCTTAGCCTTTCCCCATGCTTGCTCTCTTTCACCCTCTCCTGCTTTCTGTTTTCAAACAGGCCTTCGTTTAGCACAGTCTGGCCTCAAACTCACTGTGTTGCTGAGTTGGTGATGGCCCACTTCCATCTCCCCACTGCCGGCACGACAGACCTGAGCCACAGCACCTTGTTTGTGTGGTGCAGGGCATTGAACCCTGGTCCTCATGCTTGCTAACCAAACAATCTACCCCGCCACATATCACCAGCCCTGTTATCTCTTATGTTTTAAAATAAAAATTCTGTCAGGTGTGAAATGATAACTCATTGTGGTTGGGCTTCGCATTTTAACTGGATCCCTGGATGCTCTGTCAGCAGGTCTGAAGGGTTAAACTGACCCTTCCATGCATAGTGCATGAGGATTGTGCCACGCCCTAGTGGATGAGGAGACCTTGGCACAGTCTTTTAATGCAAAAGCTGGTGCTGGCCTTTACTTTAGCTTTGGATTGAAAACTTCTTTTAAAAAATAACTTCTTCAACAAACTTGCAAATTCTGAATGAGAATTTTGGTCCCTATGTCTTGGAGTCATTAGTGAGAACATAGCTTCTACGTCATGAATGAACTGATTTTGGCTTGTTCCTTCCTGTATATGTATCCCAGGCATACCAGCTTTCTCGAGGAAGAGTTTGGGCCATGATCATGATGCTTTGCCTCATCGCTGCCATCCTCTCTGCCTTCTTAGACAATGTCACCACAATGCTCCTTTTTACACCTGTTACCATAAGGTGTGTAGAACACTTCCAACATGGAAATGAAGATCAGCTTTGGGGCGGATTTGTGTTCTGGTTGTACCACCTGGTTCAAGGCTCCTTCCTCAACATCTAAAAAAGACAAGGGATAGTATCCATGCCCTCACTGGAGGATAGGCCATTGACCTCCAATTCAACAGCTCTGGCTTGTGTGACTGCAGAACTCTAGACAGGTATAGGTATCAGCACAGCTCAGTAATACCACGAGAAATTGAAAGACATGTGCATTGCTTTCCAAAAGATAGACTGTCATGCAGGACACGGGCAAGTCATGCATGTAGATCAGACTGTCATGCAGGACACGGGCAAGCCATGCATGTAGATCACCAGATACCAGGAGTTTTGCTCACGAATTCCCACCCTTTCGTCCTTCCACCTACTCCAAGGACTTAGTCTTCAGGTGATCAGGGTTTTGGGATTTCCAAAGATTCCAAGGTAAATCCCATACAGCCAAGATAGAGGTCTATGGCCAAGGAAGAAGTAATTAATGTGATAATTCAAAGAAAGGAGAGAGAGAGAGAGAGAGAGAGAGAGAGAGAGAGAGAGAGAGAGTTAGTTTTGGGTCTTTTCAGAAAAGGGGAAGACAGATGAGGGACTGAGTCAGCAGACTTTGGTGTTATTGCTGGTGACTTTTGACGACCCGCCTCTCTCCTGTCTCAAAGTCTCTGGTGGCCAGCACCCATCCACCTGCTGCAGGTCCTTCTTCTATAGGGCCCTCCACACAGAACACAGTACTCTCTCCAGGCTGGGAGCAGGCAGAAAGTACATCATCACTTGGATAGCTCTGACTGTGCTACGTTGACTTAGAAGAATTCTTGTAATTAGTGGTACCCGAGGATGTTGCAGCTGAGGCTCACTCCGTGCCTTATTCTTCTCCCAGACTGTGTGTGTGCATGTGTGTATATGTGTGTCTGTGCATGAGTATGCCTCCCTTGTACAAGCAAGTGCTTTAAACATCCAGGTTGCACACAGGCCATACCACTTTCTTATATCCACAATAGGTTATGCGAGGTGCTCAATCTTGATCCAAGACAAGTCCTGATTGCAGAAGTGATCTTCACAAACATTGGAGGAGCTGCGACTGCCATTGGGGACCCACCCAATGTCATCATTGTTTCCAACCAGGAGTTGAGGAAGATGGTAAGGAGCAGCACACTAGGGTTGCTTTCAGGAAATGCACAGCTGACCTGAGCACTCTTTACAACATCCTTTTCTTAAGTGCTGTGCTGCCACAGTGCACACCATTATCACTTATGTGAAGGACTGGAAGTAGGAGAGGAAAGGCAAGAAAAGCCCTGCAGGATGGAAGGGCTGCATTTAGGTTGATATCTATGTGTTGGGAAGGTAGTTTAGTTACTAAGAACATCAACGAGAAATGTCTAGGAAATTACAAAGGGATGAGAAGGGGCAATGGGTTGCAGACACATGTGTCTAACAGGCTCAGGGAAAACATCAGCATCCAACGCCACGCTGCATCTGCTCCGGCTCTTTCTAAAAACTATCAGTTTGGGTTTTTCTCTTCTGCCTTCCTTTTGCTTGATAAGTTTATCTGCAAAACTCTTCTAGCAACTTCCATTCAGTGCTGTGCTTGTCTCCCAGGGCCTCATTAATGTTTGTCTTCTCATTGTTCTTTATCTCTCCTTTCTTTAATTGTCCCTGTTTCTAATGGGAGGAAAGTTTGGTGCATACATTCTGAACAGACCCAGAGTTACTCAGGATACAGAACTCCCGTCTCCTCAGGCTGTATTTGCTAAAACTAAAAATTAGGTCTTAGGCCCTGATTGGTTTAGAGGTAAATGGATTGATATTACATGTAAGCCATTTTCTTAGGCTTCTTAAAATTTTAATGCTGATTTTTTTTATTGTTTTGTGTGTGGGTGTTTTTTTGCCTCCATGCATGTCTATGCAACACATTCATGCTTGGTGCCACAAAGGCTAGAAGGGGGTTTCCAATCCCTTGGAAAGAAGATGTCAGTCTGTCACATGTAACTGGACAGTTGTGAGCCACCATGTGGATGCTGGGGGAAAAGATATGGGTCTTCTGCTATAGTAGAAAAGCTGCTTGTTTGTTCCTGGCTGCTCAGCCCCAAAATAACCACACAGAAAGTGTATTAATTAAGCCACTGCTTGGCCTATTAGTTCTAGCTTCTTATTGGCTACCTCTTACATGGTGCCAGACAATTGTCTATATTCTGTCAATTATGTTTTAAATAAACACTGATTGGCCAGTAGCCAGGCAGGAAGTATAGGCAATACAACCAAACAGGAAGTAGAGGCAGGTCGATGAGAACAGGAGAATTTTGGGAAGAGGGAAGCTCCCTCTGTAGTCCTGCCCAGACACAGGAGAAGGAAGATGTGACCTACCCCACTGAAAAAGGTATGGAGCCATGTGGCTAACACAGACAAGAATAATGGGTTACTATAAGTTATAAGAGGTAATAAGCCTGAGCTAATGGCCCAATCAGTTTATCATTAATATAGACCTCTGTGTGATTTCTTTGGAACCTAACAACAGTGGGAACCAGGCAGGACAGAAACTCAGACAACACTTACATCTTAATTTAACCCATCTCTATTATTCTGTGTATTGCCATGTGGCTGTGGCTTACCAGCAAAGTTCCGGCTTGTCTGTTCCCAGCAGCAGCTATATGGCATCTCCTGACTCCACCTTCTTTCCCCCAGCATTCAGTTTAGTTTCCCCCACCTATCTAAGTTCTACTCTATCACAGGCCAAGACAGTTTCTTTATTCATTAACCAATAAAAGCAACACATAGACAGAAGGACTTCCCATACTTTCTGCAATCACAGTCAGTGCTCTTTAGCATTGATCCATCTCTTCAGCACCCCTGGGTTCATTTTTTTCTTCTGGTTTTAAAGGAAATTACAGATTTTTACAGACACCTAAGAAACAATTATCTTTCAATCAGATATCTGGGGTATGAATTCTATAGATAAAGTTCAAGTTCAAGGTAGTGTTTTGACTGAGGAACTCCCAGGTAGTGAGTTCCTCATCAAACACTGAGGTTTGGTGACACATACCTGCAACTCCATTACTTGGGAGGTTGGGGCAATTAACCTGAGCTTTGTAGTGAGAGGTGGTGGAAGGTGGTTTTCCTGAAGCGGCTCACTGAACACCCATGGGGCTTTCTACCTTTACCTATGTGAGCATGGCTTATGACACAGCTGTGCTGCTGTGTCCTCTGTGACCACACCCTTCCTGCCAAGACCCTTCAGTTTCTGAGATCCCAGTGTCCCACAGGACTGTGGTACACTTGACTGCCCGTTCCCCATAGCAGTAACTATTCATGGAATCTACTTGAATTCTTACAGGTGATTATCTTTAAGGGCTCAAGAGATATTGTGCATATTTGCTTAAGGATCTACATAAAAGAACAAAATAAACTAAAGAGCAAAATTAGTTAAGAATATTGTTGAGTTACTCGCTAACAAATTAACCTAAGGGTGGTTTTTATCAAAATGAAATGCATTCAACAGATGACCATGACATGGTCCCACAGGCAGGTAGAGAAAGCTGGAAGGAAGGGTGAGGCTGCCTCCCTAGCACCCTGCCTCCCTAGCACCCTTATTGCTGATTCTGTGCTCTGTGCAGGTGCTGTAGTGCCCAAGAGTGAGGAGACTGCCCCTTCCAACCCACAGCAGGTATTTTAGCCAACAATTAAAACGATTAACAAATAAATAAATGAATATACATGGCCACACTTTTCAATGTTTTGATTCCTACCCATCCTTGGGCAACACATTTGCCCTGTGACAGAGACAGTCTAAATCTAGTTAGGAGCTAGTTGCGAATGCTTATTTCTGTTCCCTTCTAAGGTGGCTTGTAATTTATGTAACCACTGGTTTTTCAAAAACACAGAACGTACAAAAAAAGTCTTTAATCAGATGGGTGGTGGTGGTGCACACCATTCATCCAAGCACTCAGAAGGCAGAGACAGGAGGATCTCTCTGAGTTTGAGGCCAGCTTGGTCTATAAAGTGAGTTCTGGGACAGTCAGGGCTACATAGAGAAACCTTGTCTCGTAAAAGCCAACAAATAACAACAGAAAGCCTTTAACCATTTCAGACTTACTAAGCATCCGTGTTTGGCTGCAGGATTCTTGTCCAGAGCCTCTCTTGTCTACAGCTCACATCCTCACCTCCCCCACCTCCACCCAGGACACACACATATCATGTATTGCTCCTTTGTTCTTCCAGGGCTTGGACTTTGCTGGTTTCACAGTGCACATGTTCCTTGGGATCTGCCTCATTCTCCTGGTTTCCTTCCCACTCCTCAGACTTCTGTACTGGAACAGAAAGCTTTATAACAAGGAGCCCGGCGAGATTGTTGGTAGGTATGAGCACCTCCTCACGCTGCAGAGTCTGCTGCAGTATTATCCCCCAGCCCCAGGGGACAGTCCTATAAGCAGGAGGGGTCCACTCCCCCACAGGATCCCCAGGAAAATATTTATTTGTCCACAGGATGCTGCATGCTTAGGAGCAATGGCTGTCCACAGGTACCTCCAACTTGTCCAACAAGCTGCTCTCGGCTGCTTCAGTCTGAGGCTACTGAGTAGCCATAAAGGCTGTCTTGCTTTTAGTTTACCGTCTTGGCCTTTTCCATATATATGTATATATGTATATACTCAAACTGTAAAATAGAGGTTAAGGGTAAGTCTCATAAAATATCTTACTCTCTTAGGAAGCAATGGATGGCAAACACCTCTCTCCCGTTCTCCATCAGAAGGTGTCTGAATTCAGCCTTGGGTGAAGGTGGTGGTGTTTGCTTCTTTCTGGCCAGCATCTCGCCAGCTGATTCCTATCTCTCCTGTGTGAGATAGGAGCTGGGGGGTGGGGGTTAGGAGAGGGAAGGCATTCCTGATTCCTGCTTTCTTACCAGAAGCCCTCTAGAGGTGCCAAGCATGGCTGCCCGAGAGCCATGTCCCTACTGCTGCTATTCAAGAGCTCTCTTTTCATTCAGAGACTGGGCAATTGACTGAGTTCATTTGTGTTACTCTAACTACCACGGCTTGGCAAGCTAAAAAGTTAGAGGCTTATTTATAATAGCTTACTGTCCAGGAGACCGTACACCCTGGAGCGTGGCTCCAGCAACTGGCGAGGCCTCTTTGCTGCTCCCTGGCCCATCACACACTTTGGAGAGGACAAGCCAGATCTCTTGCTTTTAGCCAAACATCTGAGAAGCAATGGCAAACTGTATTAAAAGCACAGCAGCAACGTGCAGATTTTGGTTGATATCAGAGCCAGTGAGAATGGGCTAGGGTTGTGGAGGTAAGACTTTGCTCAAACAAAAGTACAACAATAATAAATTAATAAGTAGATTAAAAAAAGATATTGCTGGAGAAAGGACTTTGTTCTTCAGGCAGCGTTGAAATGGCTTTTCTTGCTTGATGACTTTCAGAGTTCAGTGCCGTCATCTGGTTCCATCACCATAGCTCCTGCTAGGTGGAACGTGGATGCCCATTGTTGGCGCATGGGGACAGTGCGGGGCGTTGCTGATGCCCGAGGGTGGGAGAGACTCAGCGCCTTGCCCTTATTTCTCTGCAGAACTGAAACATGAGATTCATGTCTGGCGTTTGACGGCACAGCGCATCAGTCCAGCCAGCCGCGAGGAGACAGCCGTGCGTGGCCTGCTGCTGGAGAAAGTGCTGGCCCTGGAGCATCTGCTGGCCCAAAGGCTGCGTTCTTTCCACAGGTACCACACGGTCCTGCTTGGATCTATACCGGGGGGGGGGGGGGGCCCTTACCTGTTGTGCTTAATGGTGGCATCGCACGAGGTCCATAATCCATTGCAATCATTGTCATATGATACCCAGATCTCATCATTTTCCACAGCTGCATAGACGTCCACAGTGTATATGTTCCATTCCTTGATCCTCCATTTGTCAACTGAAGGACATTTAAGTTGTTTTCATCTCCTGGCTATTGTGAAGAGAGCAGCAATGAACACGGCTGAACAAGTGCCGTCTTAGGGTCTTCTCTTGTGTTTCAGCTATGTTAGAATATTCAGGTCCTGCTATGGGGGAATATCTGGTCTCTAGTGGAGACATACTGCCTTGACTGTTGTTGACTGCATTTTTATGCTGGTGTCTAGGCATCTGGGATTGGGGTGGTTATAGGTCTAGGCGCTGATTTCTGGATTTGAGTTTGTTGGATGGGTGTTTTGTTCCTGCTTTCCATTTTCTCTCTGAATTTTGTTGCATTTTAGGGCTGTGTGATGCCTGTTAGGAAATTTTCTTGGATTTGATAGTTACAGACACTGGGGGTTCCAGGTAAAAACGTATTTCTGATTATTAGGAGCTAACATTTAGGAATGGGGATAGACTAAGGTTCTGAAGGGTTTCGTAGGAGGGGAAGAGCAGAGTGTTCAATCAGGATCCTTGGAATAGGGGAAGACAGTGAAGAGAGGTTACCCCAGAAGGTCCTCAACAGAGAATGAGATGGGGAAATGGACATAGAGAAGCAGGAGAGAGAGGAAGATTTACAGACAGACTACCTGCTTTCCTGACCAGGAGTGGGATAGCAGGGAGTGCCTGCTGGAGTTGGGATTTAGTGGCAAGGAGAGGGAGGGAGGTTAGAAGGGTGTGCTGGCTAGTCTCATGCCAGTTTGATACGCAAACTCACATTATCTGAAAGGAGGGAACTTCAATCCATGGGATCTGAGTGTAAACCATTTTCTTAATCAACAATTGATGAGGTGAAGCCCAGGCCTTGGTAGATGGTGGTATATCTGGGTTTGTGGTCCTGAGCTGTTTTTTTTTTTTTTTTTTCGAGACAGGGTTTCTCTGTGGTTTTGGAGCCTGTCCCGGAACTAGCTCTTGTAGACCAGGCTGGTCTCGAACTCACAGAGATCCGCCTGCCTTTGCCTCCCAAGTGCTGGGATTAAAGGCGTGCGCCACCACCGCCCGGCTTGGTCCCGAGTTTTATATGAAAGCAGACTGAGCAAGCTCGGGGAACCAAGCCAGTAAGCCATGGTTTCTGCATCAGCTCCTGCCTCTAGTTCCCTGCCATGTTTGAGTTCCTGTCCTGACTTCCTTCAATGATGAACAGCAAGAAATATGAAAAAAGTTTTAAAACTACAGGAAAGGAACATAAAGTAAAGGTGGAGCACCATGAAAAAAAAAAGCTTTTGAATAAGAGGCATGAACTAGGGAGAAGCCCAGGCTAGACCAGGTCTTCAACAAGATCACAGAAAAAACTTGTACCCAAACTAAGGAAAGCCATATACAGACAGACGCAAGATACACAGAGAACATCAAATAGACAAGACCAGAAAAGAAAATCCCCACAGCAATTCATAGTTAAAACACTGAGCATATATAACAACAGAAGTGTATTGAAAGCTCGAGAACTAAAATACTAGTCACATAAAAAGAAGCCAACTTTATGTGTGAAGCCAAAACGCGTTAGGTTTTACAGTTCCATCTTCGTGTTGGCTTGAGTCCTCTTCAACTCAATTATCTCCACAGTGAATTCCATTCCCAACCCCTATATTGTCTTTATTACCAGTCTGATATTTGTGTTTCCTCGGGGATCACTTAGGTGTTTATTCTCCTTATGTTCTTTCTCTCCAATTTCACTTAGCTGTTTCTTGGTGACGTCTTTAAACTGCTTGAATTCTTTAATGAAGTTGATAGCTGTTCTCTTAAGTTCTCTGTCCTTCAGTTCATAAGACCATAAGGCAAAATAAATCCTTTCTTCCATGAGTTACCTTGGCCACTGTGTTTTATCACGGAGACAGAACAGTTATTGGCCCAAGAGCCCACCGACCAGGTCTTATGAGGGGCTCTAACCACACTCCTGAGGTCACAAGCAGGATGCACCCTTGCCTTGGCATGGTGGTCTGTATTTGGGTTCTTTTATTTGCAGGGTTTGATCTTTCAAAACTTTGGTCCTTGGGGCTGCCAAGACAATTTAGCAGGTAAAGATGCTTGACATCAAGGCTGAGGACCCAAATTCAGCTCTGGGAACCCACACGGTAAAAAGAAAGCGGATTCCTGCAGGCTGTTCTCTGACCTTACGTTGGGCTGGAAGCAGCGTACTCCCAAGTAAAATGAAATAGTTTCTAGAGCTGAAAAAATACGATCAACGGAATATGTATAGCTGTTTTCCTTGTTATTATTCTGTAAGCAAGCATAACAGCAGATATTTATCTAGGTGCTGCAACTAAAACAGAGATTCCTGAAAGTGTGTGGGAATATCAGGGCAATACCTCAGACACTGCCCCATTTGTCCGTCATCTGTCCGTCATTCTTGTGCACTGGCACTTGATCTTTAAGACATTTTTCTTCTTTACAGTTGCTCTTAAAACGTCTCTCCACTTTCAGATCATGATTTTTGTTCTTTTTCTTTGGGAATATAGGGTAAATAGCTTTCCTAATTTTCGTGGTCACCTTCATGGGCATTATGGGCATTCCAGCCCTCACACAACTGTGACAGGATTCACAAATACATCTAGGCTCTCACAGCTGCCCATGCCGCCTTGCTGATCTCACGCAGCAGCAGTGAGCTTCCTGCAACACAGGAATAATGAGAGTCCTTTCTCTCTTACAGACAAATCTCGCAGGAAGATAAAAATTGGGAGACCAATATCCAAGAGCTGCAAAGAAAGGTATCGTGTCTTCTTTTTTCAAGGGCTTCTGAATCATGGCTTGTAGGAAAGGTGATTATTTTGCTTCTTAGATTTGATTATCATTTTCAGCTGACACAGCCAATTGTAGACCATTGTGTGGCATGGTGCCATAGCCAGATGCAGGTGCACCCTGGGCTCCGCTCACACCAGCCCACCTGCATCTATTGTCATTTTTGTGTGCTGGTCCCTTCAAAAATGTCTTTTTTTTCCCCTATGACCTCAGATTCAGCTAGTGATGGAAAAACATTGCTGTTTTTATTCCTCTAGCTTTACCTGAGGTATAATTTATTTTTATGTTAATGAGGAAAATCATTGCCTAAAATGGTAGAATTATTTTGTCAGGAGATGGAAGATTTTTCTATGTGCTTAAGATGCATTCCAAGTGTGCTCCAGAAAGGCCTGTGGCCACCCTTTAGCCGGCCTCTGCTGCTCGGTTCTCCTGACCCAGAGAGCTTACAGGGTGTGCATTTTTGGGGTGTAATGCAGGAGATGGAGTTCTAGGGACGGGTGTGAGCTGTGTGTCTACTACCGTTGTGGGTTGCTTCCACTTTCCGCCCATTTTCCTGCTGTGATAAGCTGTCTATGGAGCCCAGGATTTCTGAGGGACTCACAGGAAACAGTACCCTCATTGCCTTGTCCCCCGAGTCATGAAGACTCTGCAGAGACACAGCACTCTCTGCGCTCACAAGTGTGTATCTGCCCCAGTACTTGTGAGCCCACAACAAGAGGCAAAAACAGCATTTCATGGTCTCTGGATTCCTTTTGCTGGAACAACGGTATTTAAAGAATACCTCAAGCGTGTTAAAGACATGTAGAGATGGTACTGTCATGGAGGTCATGCTTGAGTGCTACACCTTGTAACAACTCTTAGGTGCAGCATTACACGGGTGCTACTTACGGGAAGGACATCAGAACTCAGACACAGGACACACAGACACCTTGGGAAATGCGTGTATATTCAAGACCATGTGTCTAAGTCTTATGGTTTCCACAAAGTGTCTGCTAATATCTCCTGCACTACAGCATATACTCTCCGGGAATAGTGAAAGTTTCTTTAGTTCTCACAAGATTTTGACGTTCTATCTTTAAAAGGAAATACTCAGAGCAATTCAAAGGATGTAGGACCGTGGGCATGCTTCGAGAATCTGAAGACTGTCCCGAGAAAATGAGCTGTGTTTCTCTCTCTCACAGCACAGGATAACGGACAGGATTCTGCTGGTCAAGTGTCTGACGGTGCTGGGGTTTGTCATCTCCATGTTCTTTCTCAACTCCTTCGTCCCTGGCATTCATCTTGATCTTGGTGAGTCTACTATTCTGTTAACTTCTTTGCTAACTTTTGCATCTGATGTGGCAGTGTGGATGGGAAGGCGCCCAAGCCTGTTCCCAGATGGATGCCTGTATCTTCCATACAGCGTGACATCACAAACAGAGTTGGGGGTGATGCTTTTCCTGTGTCTCGGCAGCAGTTCCCCAAATGACCATTCAGAGGCTTAATAGTAACTGTATATGCTCAGCCCAATAGCTCAGCCTTATTACTAACTAGCTCCTACATTTCAAGTCAACCCATATTCCTTATTGAAGCTCTGCCATGTGGCGGTACCTTTATTAGCAGGGAATGCACATCTTCTGCTTTTTTAGCATCTGCTGGTGACTCCTGACTCCTTTTTTCTCCCGTGTTAGGCTTTCCTACCCACCTCTACCCTGTTCAGCTATTGACCAGTCAGTTTCTTTATTAAACCAATCAAAGCAATACCTATTCACAGTGTCCAGAAGGATGGCTGCAAAGGGGCTGAGGATTGGGAGAGCTCTACCGAGCTCAGTGTCCTGTCTGGCTAGAGGTGGTTTTTCCATGCAGTAAGCTTCTTCTCCCAGTCCATCCCTTTGGTCCTCCCATGTTGTCAGCACATTCTCTCTAGGAGTTAGCCACCACCCTTCTCCAGTTCTGTGTCATGGTCAGAAAAATGGCTCTCTCAGGTTGGAACTCCCAGGGCACATCCTCGCCACAGACACCCCACACTCGCCGCAGACTCCATGTTCTGTCACAAGCAATCTTTATGTCAGTACTTGAAAGATAACCGAAAAATCTACTAGTAAAACCTACCTCATCTGAAAGTATAGATCAACGAGAAATAGATGTTTGATGTAGCATCCAGTTCGGCTGGCAACCCGGGTTTGGCTCTGAGCCGACAGGTGTTCTTTATCTACAGCAGAACTGGCCTTGCTGAAACCTCCCGAAGTCCCGAGGAAAGCAACAGGCAGTGTTAATGATGGCATGGATCTCAGCTGCGTTTGGTGGAGGCACATCTAGAAATGGTTACAGTGTGATTGTTTTAATTATACCCAGTCACACCGCAGTTTTACCATTACAAAGTTTCATCACTGAGAAGATGAAGGTACCATGGATAATTAAACAAATACAGTGAACATGGTAGACCCAAACAGAAGCCTTCCACTGGAGATATTTTTTGGCGGGCTCACAAATAAGTTAGCTTTATTTGTGCTTGAAAATAGTATGTAAGCATTTGAAAAGCTAATCACACAAAGGAGCTTATACGTTTATACACACACACACACACATTTTTTTTTTTTTTGCTAACATTTGCCACGTCTTTTTTTGTTGTTGTTGTTTTGGTTCTTTGAGACAGGGTTTCTCTGTGTAGTCCTGGCCATCCTGGAACTTGCTCTATAGAACAGGCAGGCCTCAGACTCAGGGATCTGCCTGCCTCTAACTCCCGAGTGATGGACTGTGCTCTCCTGGTGTCCTCGACCCCTCTGGGTCCTGAAACTCTTTCTTCCCATCCTCTGTTGGATTCCCTGCACTGCAAAGGGAAGGGACTCAATGGAGATCTCTGATTTAGATTCTGCAAATGTCTGGCTGTGGGTCTCTGTACTTGCTTGCATTTTAATTTAATACAACATTTTGCTCTTCCCTTCACGCAAACCCTTCTGTGTGCTCCTCCACGTTTCTCCAAGTTCATGGCCTCTCTTCTTCATCAGTCGTTTTTGCACATATATATGTATATAACTTAATAAATTTATATATTTATTTATATAACTTTAACTTGTTGAGCCCATATGCAACTCATATGTAGGTTTTCAAGGCTGAATGTTTGGCACTGGACAACCAACGTGCCTTTCACTGGGGTAGGCCACATTGCCTGATCTCAGTTTTACCCAGTGGCCTGCAGTTCATGCAGGCTGAGGCCTCGGAAGCTAAGCCTTTGTACAAAGACATCTCGTTTCTTTGTGCCGCTGTTGCATCTGTGACTGTGAAGTAGCACTTCGGTTCTACTTTTAACGCCAGTGTTGTTTCTCTTCCCCTTTAGTTTGTGAACAGATATCTTCTCGAGGATCCGAGGCTACACATTGCCTTTATTTGCTTCCTAATCCTGAAAGGTCAGGTAGACTAGCAAAGAGAGTCTGATTAGCATTTTAAGGCAGAATATTTAAATGGGGGATATCTTCATTCTATGTAGTACTGGTTTTCAGAAGGACGTCTTCTTGAAAATGCATAATGTACTTTGAACAAATCTCCCCATTCCAGCAATGCCTCCTTTCCCCCTCCCCTCCTATTTGTCCCCATGTCCACTACAGTGTCCCTTCCATGTTCATGTCACATATATAATGATCAGATACAGAATCTAAGGACCACGAATTAGAGACTGACTTAACTCTCTTAATATAGTGGCAATAAGTTGCATCCATTTTTCTGAAAATGACTTTCATTCTCTTGTGTGTGTTTCACATATTCTCTTCCCTTCTTCCCACTGTTGGATACTGAGCTGGTCCCACGGCTTAGCTGTTGGGAACCGAGCTATAACAGACATTGATCCACAAGTGTCTCTGTAGTCGGTGGACTTTGACTCCCGGAGCAAGTACGTCGGAGTGGCATAGCCGGCTTGTGTGCTTGATCTATTTTTCAGTTATTTTTCTTCTTTGGAGAATCGGCCATGCTGGTTTCCATAGTGTCTATACTAACTGATAGTGCATCAAGGTTTTGTTCAAACCCTTGCTGGTATTTGCCATCATGTGCTCGCTCTCTTTCTTTCTGTTTTGCTTTTCGAGACAGGGTTTTCCTGTGTAGCTCTGGAGGTCCTGGAACTCACTGGGTAGACCAGGCTGGCCTCTAACTCACAGAGCTCCATCTGCCTCCACCTCCTGAGCGCCACCACCCACCTGGACTATCGTGTACTCTGAATGACTATCATTCTGACAGGATGAGGTGGAGTCATATTATAGATTAAATATGAATTTTTCTGATGTTGAGGGATGTTAAACGGTTTTTCACCTGTCTATGGCTACTTGTATTTCATATTTTGTCATTTCATTATATTAGTCTATTTATTGATTGATTTACTAATTTGTTCCTATTTAATTTTCGGAGCTTTGTATATTCCACAGGTTAACTGTCTTCCAGGTACATAGTGAGCAAAGATGTTATCATATTCTGCAATGTAAGAGCAGAAACTCTGAGCCTGTAAGAGGGGAAAACAGGTCGGGATTAGCACCTCTGCTTCCTAAGGATTTATTTTTGTTATTTTTATTATGTGTATGTGTGAATATTTTCGTGGGAGCACAGGGACCCACAAAAGCAAGTGTCTGGAATCACGGGGATTGTAAACTCTCTGATGTGGGTGCCAGGAATCAGCTCAGGTCCTCTACAGAAGCTCCTGTGTCATCCACTGTGGGAGGGGCTGACCCACATCTAGCGTCCCCAAGAAAACGTACAACAAACCTTTTCTCAATTGCGGTTCCCTCTTCCAAAATGACTCTAGCTGGTGTCAAGTTGACATACAAATGAGTCGGAACAATGTGTGTTGTGTAAGCCAAAAGTCAAATAGCACAGAATAGCCTCACATAGCATTGTGGTATAGTTATGCCATAGGAACTGAAACGTATCATGTCACAAAACATGAAAACACCATACAGAGAGCATCCATCATGTGATACAATGTAATGCCCCGTGACATAGGGCACATGGTCTCATGCAGTGCACAAGGACGTTGTGAGACGCCGACCATGTGATGTGTGTAGCATCCTCTGACACATTCCTTCTCTGAAGAACCGGAACCTAAGCACGGCAGACTCAGCATTCTCATTTCTTAAAATTACTACAGAACAAATGGATTTTTTTCTTGTGAAATTATATTTCTTGACCTATAGAGGTTTATGTAATTACCAACAAAATCAGAGTATCATCCCACAAGCCCCGGGCTCTCCCTGGTGGCTGTTTCCACTCCCATCAACAATGGGTCAGTTTCCATCCTTAGCAAGCCATCTGTTTTGAGAACATCACTTAGGTGGCATCAGGTTGGATGCAACCTTCTGAGATAAGCACCCCCCTGCGCTGACACTATGTGGCTGGCGCAGCCTTCCGTGCTGCGGACTGTGTCAAAGCTTGGCTCCTTTGTTGCTGAGCAGCGGTGAGAAGGCACAGGTCTGTGTGTTCATTTACTGAGGGTCAGCCCACGTTTAGCAACAGTGAACAGAGCTGGTCCAAATGGCAACCAACTTCAGGATTTGTGTGAATTTAAATGTTCATTCTTGGCTATTTATCTAGAGGTGAGACCATTAGTCTTATGTGTTTGTACGTTTGACTGTAAAAGATAATTCCCGGAGTTTTCCAGAGAGGCTGTTCCTTTTGCCTTCCCGCAGCCTGGATGCAGCCTCAGCAGCACCAGGTAGGATGGATTCCTCCTCTAGGTCTAGGCTGACGCGCACGAGGTGTCTCTTAGTGACTTTCTGTCTCGGCACAGTTTATTTGTCGCCTTTGAGGGAGTACTTTCAGTGACAGGCAATCTATTTGATTTGTCGTACGCATCAGAGAGGAGTGTGGGGATGATTATGGGCGGCCAGCAGAGGTCAGGTGAGGACAGGCTTTGAGAGGTGCGCCTGCTAGAAGCCACTCCACATGGCAAACCTGCTTGCCCCTGGGTCGCCATACATTTTCTCTTTTCCTGGAAACTCCTCAGTCAGTCTATAGAACCGCTCTATCCATACACAGAGGAAAGGCTGCTTTGAGCTTCAGAGTTCCAGGGGAAGAGTCTGGTTGGGGCAGGCAGTGTTGCTTCCCGAACATTGGGAATGCCAGCCAAGAGGACAGGGCCACATAACACATAGCTGTAGTGGCCGAGGGCATACTTTTTAGAGGAAGGGGGTTCTTCTAACTGAACATTCTCCAAACCTCTTAACACATTCGTTAGTCTCTCTAGTGTCTGGTCGGTACAGACATTTCTTGGTATCTTTGAGAGGTGATTTCAACACTCCCCAGGGATCCAAAAACCTTTGGAGGCTCAAGTC